AGACACGAATCACGGTGCATAAACGTTGATGAAAATATGTAAACGATTGAGACACAATTTTACCGCCACCGCTGCAGTGTGTGACGCGTTATCGGGTTTATCAAAACACGCGGTTATAAATAGCTATTAGTTAATGCCATCGTCACACGTCTTACGTCTAGTCCTGTYGTTATTTTACATTATTATAGTTTATTTATAGGTTCTTCTATATATATATTTTTTTATAATTTTGGTCTTGCTAGAATTTCTAGTGTAGAAGCCTGGCCCGGCCCGTAACCCGTACCTTGTTCAAAAAAATGGTCCGGCCCGGCCCGCCATTGATGTAAAGGAAGTCCGGCCCGACCCGGCCCGTAACTTTTGTTCCAAAAAAAGTCCGGCCCGGCCCGCCTTTGATTTAGGGAAAGTCCGGCCMGGTCCGGACCCGTAACTTTTGTCCTAATAGAGGTCCGGCCCGGCCCGTCTTGCATTTTATAGAACCCGGCCCGCGCAGGTCTTTAATACCTACCCTCCATCAATTTTATTTTTAGGTAATAATGCCAATGCACAAAACATCTGCACACAAAATTGTGYATTCAAATTAGATTTAACAAAGTGCGTTAATCCTCTTGTTCTGATATTTTTGACTAGTGCCTGAAATAACAAGTGAAAATAAACAATATTGTTTAAGATATACCATACAAACAAAATAAAAATAATCTAATTAAGAAGTTTAAACTTTGGCAATGAATTATTTATAGATTAATTATTCAATTTTTTTTTCCATTTCTCCATTAAATGCCAGTAGTAAATATGGAAAAAAATTGCGACTATTAATATATATTAAAACAATTTTTATTTAAAAGGATGCTACATCCAGATGCGTTGCCTCTATCTTACAAATTCAGAACATACCAAGTTGTACATTCTGAATAATCGGTTATGATTAAAAAGTGTATTACTTAATAATTGTATTCAAAGGGCACCGCCTATTAACTATCATTAAATAAATTATGACTACATGTTAAAATTATCATTAAAACAATTTTTATTTAAAAGGATGCTACATCCAGATGCGTTGCCTCTATCTTACAAATTCAGAACATACCAAGTTGTACATTCTGAATAATCGGTTATGATTAAAAAGTGTATTACTTAATAATTGTATTCAAAGGGCACCGCCTATTAACTATCATTAAATAAATTATGACTACATGTTAAAATTATCATTAAAATAGGTACCTGTACATAATGGAAAAACAAGAATGCTGATCTGCATCTGGATAAACAGATTTAAAAGCATTCAGCAACCCAGATTCAAAATCAGTCATTATATTTGCTGGCATTATAAATGGAAATAATTCTTTGCAAGGAAGATGTCTCTAAGTCCTCGGCCAATCAACATTGATAAATTAATCAATTATTTAAAACTAACTAAACTATATCAAATTATTTAATCTAAATATATCTCAATCCTTTTTTCTTTTTTTTTCATACTATTATTATTGCTATGTATATGTTATCGTCAATGATGTAAATTAGTTAATAACGTAAATGTCTAGCCAATATTATAAATTCCTAACATTAGTAGTCGATATTGTCAATGCCTAGGAATTAACTGACAACATAGGCACAAGGTTGTAAAATTTAAATATTTTGTTAACACATTTAGAACTATGACTAGGAACTTACTTTAATGTCTAATACTGATAGGCAATGTTGATAATTATGTTTAACGAAATATTTTAATTAGGTCAGAAATGTATAAATACATGATAAATCATACATAATTAATAATTATTTATTTTCACAATCTGTTGTGCCGTGACACTTTGAATTGCATAAAACATTATTTTTTTTACAWGCGYATCTATTAGTTTTGCATTTGGTTTTGCAAATACATCTTGTATAGCCTTGTGATCCCGCGATTCCATATCCAGCAGCCTCACGAACCGTAATTTCTTTTACTCCGGCAGTCGCGATTGTTTTTTCATAATTCAATATATTTTCAGGACACGGAACGAGTTGTGCTCTAGTGAACCTATTTTTTAGCATGCCATACTCCGTATACCTACATAGTATTTTATTTTAATATTGTTATTAATTTATTTTAACAATTAATTTTTATTGTACTTACATAATTTATACATATCAGCTTCATATGAAACAATGACCGCCAAAAGATTAAGGGGTGAGCCACGTGCTCTATCCACGTCAGGTATAGGTACTCTTACAGTAGTTCCTACTTGAAGTTCTGTTAACTTAGTATTAGAATACTTCATCATTTTTTGTACCTGCTTTTGAAGGTTAGTTATGACCCCTTGTCTATGATTATTAATTTGATCTTTGTTCGAATCTAAGATATTACAAAAATCMAAAAAWRTAAAAAGGAAAAAATATGCAATTGTATTAGTTACCTATAATATCACGATTTCCTCCACCCTCAACTTCAAGTTCTTCGGTGTTTTGATTTTTAAATATATTTTCAACGCCTTCTTCTGATTTTAATTTAGAAATTTCATCATAAGGAATATTTTTTGAAGCTAATCCGATTTTTGCAGGACAGCCAAACATGGCTTTATAAGGAGAACGACCTATTCCTAGAATGAATTTATTTATTTTTATTTTTGACTTAATATTTTCATATTTTTAATATAAATAATATATTTTGTATAAATTAATTGTGTTGATAATTAATTAAATAATAATAAAAGATTACTAACCTGAATTCAACGCTCGATTTTTTTGAAACTGGATAAACTTGAGAGCGGTTGGCCAATCTTTACTATTGTTGTCTGTCATCCATGCAGCTAAGATTGCTTCAATATCTCTATTAGCACGTTCTACCGACCCTTGGCTCTGGCTATGTCGTGGTTTTCCATGTACAATTTTTACATCACTCCGCATTTCATTAAGATTAGTGATAATTGAATTGACAAACTCTCGTCCGTTATCAGAATGCAAAATTGACGGTGCCCCAAAAGTAGTATAAATATCTAATAAATTTATAGCAATTTATGCAGCACGTTTTGACTTTAGAGGCCGTAATAATGCAAATTTTGTAAGATGGTCTTGGTGATTTAAAATAAAACGATAATCATTATAACATTGTGATTGCATGTCGATTAGATCAATTTGTGCCCGAGAGTTAAAAGCTGTGTGCACAATAGGCTTCGAAACCAAACCTTTTTTCGGATTAGGTTGTTTTTTTTTACAATATGAACAGAAGCTTAAAAAAACCATAATTGATTCTTTGGTAACGTTACAATGTTTATGTCTTAATTCAGCCACCATTCTATCTCTTTCCCCATGTCCAATCGCAATATGAGTAGTATATAGGACGTCGAACATTTCATCAACTTTCAAATAATAAAGAACTGTTCCATCTGATATGGGTTTAATTAATTTTTCTTTCCCAGCAATAGTCATAACA